TCGATGGGGGGGCGGGCCTTTCCCGTCCGTCCCGCTCCTCCCTCCGTTCCGCTCCTTCGCCGAATCCGCCAATGAGAGGACCGCGGGGGGTGGGGTGGAGGAGGAGGAGGAGTGGGTGGGGAAAGAGAAAGCGAAGCGCCTCCCCTAACGGCCAATCCGCTGACGGGACACCGGAGAGCGAGAGAGGGAGGGGCGGGAGGTGGTGGAGGAGGAGGGGCCTCGAGAGCGTCGCTTGACACCCCCGCCGAGGCGAGGCCCCGCCCCCTTCGGCTTTTCCCGCCCAAAGTGTCTCCTGAGGCGAGCGGATATTATTGTCTCGCTCGCAGTTCGGTTTCCATTCGCACGTGATGGTTTTAATGGTGGTTTTAATGGCCTTTCCCCTCCTATTAAATCTTGGTGTTGCATGGGGAGCAGGGCTGTAAGACCAGTGTATAATAAACAGAAATAAACACACACACACACTTATTTATTTATTATTTCAATTTGTATCCCACCTTTCCACAGAACTGGCTCAAGGCGTCTTGATATATCTATATATATTTGTATATATAAATGTCGGTTTCTGGAGATATATATCTCTCTATATAGAGAGATATATATCCACAAACCAACATTTTGTGACGGAGTTCTGTGACTCATGAGGTAGATCAAACTATTATTTCAATTTGTATCTGGCTCAAGGCAGCTTGATATATCTATATATATTTGTATATATAAATATAGATATATATCTATAGATATAGATATTCACAAACCAACATTTTGTGACGGAGTTCTGTGACTCATGAAGTATATCAAATTATTTGAAATAAAACGAGCTACCTGCCCTTCCTGAGGTAGAAATTAATTTTTACCTCAGGAAAGATGCCCTAGTCTGTTTTTGTTTCAAGTAATTTGCCTCAGGACAGGCACTTGCTCCCATTCTTTCTAAGAAAGCAGCTGTGGAAACCCCAGCTGCAGTGTTAGAATGAGTCAAACAACAAATATATACACTGCAAAAAACCTTATTTATAAGGTTTGTGGATGATACGAAGTTGTTCAGGGTGGAGAGAACCAGTGAGGATTGTGAGGCACTCCAAAGGGATCTGTCAAAGATGGGCGAGTGGGCGTCAACATGGCAAATGGGGTTCAATGTGGCCAAGTGCAAGGTGATGCACATTGGAGCCAAAAATCCTAAATATAAATACACATTGATGGGGTCTGAACTGGCAGAGACTGAGCAAGAGAGAGATCTTGGAGTTGTAGTAGATAACTCACTGAAAATGTCGAGACAGTGTGTGACTGCAATAAAGAAGGCAAATGCTATGCTGGGGATTATTAGGAAGGGTATTGAAAACAGATCAGCCAATATAATAATGCCCCTATATAAATCAATGGTGAGACCTCATTTGGAATACTGTGTGCAATTCTGGTCACCACACCTTAAAAAGGATATTATAGCTTTGGAAAAAGTGCAGAAAAGGGCAACTCGAATGATAAAAGGGTTGGAACACTTTCCCTATGAGGAAAGGTTAAAGCGCTTAGGGCTCTTTAGCTTGGAGAAAAGACGACTGAGGGGTGACATGATCGAGGTTTATAAGATTATGCATGGGAAAGAGCAGGTAAAGAAAGAGGTACTTTTCTCCCTTTCTCACAATACAAGAACCCGTGGGCACTCCATGAAATTGCTGAGCGGTCGGGTTAGAACGGATAAAAGGAAGTACTTCTTCACCCAAAGAGTGATTAACACATGGAATTCACTGCCACAGGAAGTGGTGGCGGCTACAAGCATGGACAGCTTCAAAAGGGAATTAGATAAGCATATGGAGCAGAGGTCCATCAGTGGTCCTTTATATCTTCATGGCTGTGACTGCTTTTTAATTTTTAAACATACGAACTATCAAAGCGATATGCAAACTTGAAAGTCCAGCAAATGACTAAGACGAAGTACTCAGGTTCAATAATCATGGATGAGCTTGGGTTTTTTAAAAAACTACCTTGTATTAAAGAAGATTCCCTTTTCTGTCATTTCAATAGGAACTCAACCATTTTCATCATTCTGTAAAAAAGTTAATTATCTTTCCTCCTCTTTTAGCTGGAATATAACTTGTTATTTTACCTTGAACCGCTACATCCCACAATTTGGATAACATTTCTTTCAAAATGGGTACTTTCTTACTTCCCCAATATTTAACATAAACCAATCTGGCAGCTATTCACCTACAAAATATCGGCATGATCCCTTGAAATTATTCTTTTCAAGTAAGGCAGAAAATGTAGCTTCACATCTATTGCATGCTGGATTCTTTATTATATGGTAATGGTTAATCATAAAATATCTGTATCCAAAACCCCTTCAGTTCTTAAACTGAAATCACATGTGCATTGTAAAGCACGGGGAAGTTGGATGAAATTGTAAATTAGCCTTCCTGTGTGGCCATGAATAGATTTAGAAAGGTGGTAAAAAATGCATTTAGAACTACCTTTCTCTTTTTCACATGTCAGAAATAAGACATTCATACATTTAGAACTGCTTTCTCTTTTCTATGTGTTTATACAGACTTGCTGTTCTGGTTTTCGCATCAAGCATCCGGACAAGAGTGGGAAAGCGTTTTAAGGTCCCGTTCACACAGAGAAGTCACCACGCTAAAGACATGGATGATAGGCGGATTTTCGGTGCGCGATCACACCGCAACATCTGGAAAGTGTAGTACACCCATGGCTAACCCATGGCTTCTCGCTGAAAATGCACAGTAAAAAACTATCACATACGATGTACTAGTTTCCGGAAAACGCGGGGCAAGGGTGGGCGTCTAATCGCGTTTCCACTTGAATCCCGTGGCATCCGGTGCCCATCCATGTCTCATCGCACACCGGATTTTTTTTTTTGGTAACCCTCCACAGGATGTGCACAAACGGTCATGCGCATGCGCAAACTTCGGTGTGGAAAAAAAGTCCCGTCTGCCACGGAAGCAGCGCCTAGCGATTGCTGGTGTGATCGCGCCGCGCCACTTCTTTGCCGTGCTGCAGGATAGCCATGTGATCAGCACCTAACGGCCTAACCACGGGACCTCGATGGGACGTGTGATCGGGCTGCTGTGCGTTACTTTGCTCCGGGGCTAACAACCATGCTCCCCCCCCCGCATTTTCCGGCCTGTGTGACCGGGGCCTAAATAGGACATGTGAATTCAGCCTTACCTCTCCACCAGCATTTATTTATTTATTAGATTTTTACCCCGCCCTTCCGGCCTGGGCCGGCTCAGGGCGGCTTACAACAGAATAAAATCAGACAATACAAAGCATAAAATCACATAAATTAATATACACAGGGCTTTTTTGGAGAAAAAGCCCAGCAGGAACTCATTATCATAATAGGCCACACCCAACAGCAGAAACTCATTAGCATATTAGGCCACACCCCTGACAGCACAGCTCAATAGCATATTAGGCCACACCCCCATGTTACCAGAAGTGTGCTCATCCAGCCACACCCACCTTTTGCTTCTTATTCCGTTTACCTTGTCTGTTGTCAAAACCCAGGGCTTTTTTTGTAGCAGGAACTCCTTTGCATGTTGGGCCACACACCCCTAATGTAGCCAGTCCTAATGAGTTCCTGCTGTCGGGCGTGGCCTATTATGCTAATGAGTTTCTGCTGGGCGTGGCCAACTCGGGAGCCAGCCGGAACTCCGTTCCTGTGCGTTCCTGCCCCAAAATATCCCTGAATATACATACAATATTAAAAACTCAGACATGGTAAGACATAATAAAGTGCTAGCAATATCCTCAGTTTACGGTCGGCTCTTCGGTCTTCTTCGGCTATCTTAGGTGATTGGCACGGGCAGTATTTGAGGGACCGGTGTGTCAGGGTTCAACTAGCATAGCTATTAATTGCTGGCGATTCAGTATTAGGTGGTGGCAGCTCCAAAAGCCTGGCGGAAGAGCTCTGTTTTGCAGTCCCTGCAGAACTGTGAGAGGTCCTGCAGGGCCCTGGTCCCTTCTGGGAGCTCGTTCCACCACAGAGGAGCCGCCACCGAGAAGGCCCTGGCCCTAGTTGCAACCAATTTGGCCTCCTTGATGCTCAGGAGAGCTAGCCGATTCTGGGTCCCAGATCTCAGCGTCCTCTGGGGCATATATGGGGAAAGGCAGTCCCTCAGGTATGCAGGTCCCTGGACATAAAGGGCACGATCAAAGTTTGCTCTTCCTTACCCACAATTCCAGAAGTGATCATGGTTGATATAATTTTTGGAACCTAACAAAGGTTAGTAAAATGTGAAAAAGAGGGCCCATATTAAAAACTAAATGTAGAAAATATATAGAAAAAGATACATGTATTTATTAACTACAAATTTTAAAACATATATAGGGGCCCATTCACATCAAATATATAAATAACATGGCAATACACACGGGCTGAAAAACCTGACCTGACGCGTTTCGGCCTGCATAGGCCTTCCTCAGAGGTCAAACAATTGAGTGGCAAGATGGCTATATAAATATAATACAATCATGTAGACACAATCAGAATAGATACAAAATATAAATTCAATATGGACCAGACAACCAGTTGTTCCAGAATAAAACCACCAGGCACACAATAAATATGCAAATGAGATCTTTAAAATTGCAATCACTTGCCCAGTGGTTCTAAAGTATAGACTTTTGGTCCAAGAATTGCCTTCTTTGATTGTGTTGCCACAGTGTTCTCAAAAAACTTCCTCATGCTTTGTTAAAGTTCCGTCTTCTCTTAAACACGTGCCTTGGTTTGCTTACCCGAGCCACCTACAGTCGCTATGTTGGCTGTTCCTTCAATTGCGGTACCCCATTGGGGCCTACTTTCCACCTGTGAGGGGTGTGCCCTGAAATCTCCTCTTGACTGCCATAGGAACGATGCCGTCATTCGTTCTTCGTGTCCCTCCAACCTATCGTCTGTGTTGCTTTCTGCAGCGCTTCCCTTTTTGCAGACGAGAAGGAAGACCTTTTGCATCTCCCTCTCTCTACGCCCCACCCCGTCGACACCGCTGGCTTCCTCTGGAACTGCCTTTCCTCTGTAGCTGTCAGACCGTCCTGTGCAAAGCTCCCCACATCCTGTCAGAAGCAAGAGATTACAGGACCCGGAGCTACGCAATTTCAGAAGGCGAGAAGATTGGATTTGGAAAGGTAGAATGGTGAGGTTGAACGTTTTCTAACTTAGGTCAAGAGTGGTGTGGTGGTGTGGGGATGGTCAAGTTTGGCTCCGAACCTGTTTTTTGCTCCTTTGAATATTGCTTTTTTTTAAAAAAAAACCCATCCGTTTCTTTTTGCCACTTCCTCGTGTATCATTCTCACACAATCATGAAAACATTCAAGGTCGGATAGAGCCTTGCTCCAAGAGGCAAGTTTCGCCTCGGAGAGGCTATTGTAGGCTGGGGACAAGATGGAAGCCACACGCCGACAGTTGGCAGAGGGGGAACTTCCCGTGTGGTGTGGTGGAAGCGGTCTTGCCAGATCAATGTTTTGAAACGGAGGGACGCTTGGCCGTGTTCCCTCTAAGCGGAGTGAGTGTGAGCTAGCTCACAGTTTTTTAGCCTCCGGCTCACGCATTTTTGTCTTCGCTCAGGAAGGATGGGGCTCCAGAGGAAACTGATTTATGCAGCAGCCAAATCGCTCACTCAAAACGTTAAGGCCAGTAGCTCACAAAGTAGAATTTTTGCTCACAGGACTCCACAGTTTAGAGGGAACATTGACGCTTGGGACACAGCAGCGTGTGGCTGGAAGCAAGGAGCGGTGGGTTTTGAACAGCAGGAAGACAGATGTAGAATACGCACACGGAGAAGAGCCGGTATGAGGCCGTTCGACACTGGAACAAGCTCCCCAAGGAGGAAGCCGTGTCGTCTTCTCTTGCCAAAGTAGGCTAGAAAAGGTGGGGCAGTTTGCAGTCTTGAGCGGCCCGTAAGGTATAAGATAGCCTGAGGTAGACCGTGGGCCCTGGGCCCAGCGATGATTGCATGACAAGTCTGGTGGGGACTTTGACATGTAAGGTCAGAGGGCCGTAGGGTCCCGGACTCACAACAGCAACCCTACATTTTAATCCAGCGCCTGCAGACCAAGCCCAGTCTCAACTTGACGGTGTAAATGTCATTGTAAAGTGGTTAGGAGCACAGACTCTGATCGGGGAGAACCAGGTATGAGTCCCCACCAATGCTCCCTCTAATCTGTGGAGTCTTGTGAGTAAAAATTCTACTTTGTGAGCGACTGGCATTAAAGTTGTGAGCGAGGAATTTGGTTACTGCATAGATTAGTTTTCTCTGGAGCCATCCCTTCCTGAGCTAAGGCAAAAATGTGTGAGCTGGAGGCTAAAAAGCTGAGAGCTAGCTCACACTAACTCAGCTTAGAGAGAACACTGGTCCCCACGCCTCCACTTGCAGCTGCTGGTTTTTTTAAAAAAAAATTATTTAAATTTTTATAAACAAATTACAAAACACAGAAGTGAACAAATTTGAGCAGCAAGATATAACATTGTGGATATAAGGTAAGTATGAGCATATGCATACATATTGGTGACAAGGTATTATAGTTCAATTATAAAGCATTAACTTGTATTTCGCTTCAGAGATGTTTTCCCAATCAAATTTATTTATGTTAATTTTATCCAGAATGGGATACCATATACTTAACGCGCCCCGCCTTCCTGAGTAGATATAAATTTCCTGCCTACCATTTTTCTTCTCACCTTGACACAGGGAGTACTCCATCTTTTTGTGTTGTACCTCTGAGGATGCCAGTTACAGCTACTGGCGAAACGTCAGGTCCTCCAATGCCAAGACCACGGCCACGCAGCCCAGAAAATCTACAACAGCTAATTATTAATTTGATTTATTAATCACCCTCTCCCAGCTCTGGGCGATGTACAAAAGGGGCATAATGCCATGAAATTATACAACATTTAAAACTCAATATACAATTTGGTAAAAAAGAAGAAGAAGAAGAAGAAGTAAGAAACCAGCATAAAAGTCCAAGATGGCACCTTGTAAATTTTTTAACCCAATTCTGGACTCCCCGGCCATTTTCTGAGCAAGGAGAGAGGGAACTCCAAACAGAACTGCAGAATAGGGGGGAGGGAAGGGAGGCTGTCAGCCAGGGAAGAAACAGTTGCTGCCCTCAACGGAAAGCCTGGCAGAACATCTCCAGGAGATTATCTGTAGAGTACAGAGCTGTCCCGGGGACACTCCGGAGGAGACGGTCCTGTAGATACGGAGGTCCCAGACTGCTCCAGGCCTTAAACGTCAGTACCAAAACCTTGAACCTGACTCGGTTGGACTATAAATGACCTAAACCAGGGCTATTTTGGGGACGGAACGCACAGGAACGGAGTTCCGGCTGGCTCCCGAGTTGGCCACACCCAGCAGGAACTCATTAGCATAATAGGCCACACCCAACAGCAGAAACTCATTCGGATTGGCTACATTAGGGGGTGTGTGGCCTAACATGCAAAGGAGTCCCTGCTACAAAAAAGCCCTGGGTTTTGTCAACAGAATAACAAGCAAAAGGTGGGTGTGGCTGGATGACCACAATTCTTGTAACCTGGGGGTGCGGCCTAATGTGCTAATGAGCTGTGCTGTCAGGGGTGTGGCCTAATATGCTAATGAGTTTCTGCTGTTGGGTGTGGCCTATTATGCTGATGAGTTCCTGCTGGGCTTTTTCTACAAAAAGAGCCCTGATGTCCTAAACAATTAATTAAAGATCAGTGGCATGACATCCCTAAATGGCACAGGGAGAATGACGCCCACATTCCAATTTTCATTGCAGTCCGATTCTCTGGTCGTGTGCGATGTGGACCCAGAGCTGAAGGAGAAACTGAAGAAATTTCGGTTTCGGAAGGAGACGAACAATGCCGCTATAATTAGTGAGTTACCGTCCTGCATAGCGCCTTCCCCCGGCCCCCAGTTTTTCCTTGGTCGGGGCTAGACTTAGGTCGAATCTGCATTTGCATTTTTAAATCAGTTTCGTGCTGCTGTGATGCGGTCTTTCTCTATGCTTGTTTGAATGTTGTTTGGAGAAGGTTCTTTTAAAGCAGTGCAAAGGTGCAATGACAGTGGAGCCGCCCAGAAAGGACGATAAACATATGTGGATGTGCAAAAGTATGCTAGCACTCTTGAGGTGTGAAAACGACACCAAATGTAGACAGCTTCTTTGAAGATTGAGTCAAAAGGCTGGGGCACTGGTGGGAAAGGGTTGGCCTTGTGATGCCTGCCGTTAAAAGCCAAATGAACTGGCCCATGTATCAGAACTGACAGTGTGGATTCAGTAGACGGGTACGTGAAAATTAGTTTAGCACGTGGCCTTAACAAAATCCTGGTGCAGTTTTGAGCTGGCGCTGCTGCTCTTCATCAGGGGATATTGTCAAAAGTAAAAAATGAGTACTACAAGCAGAGTCTTTTTGAATCTGAGGAGCCTCATGCATTCACAAGAAGCGTCCTGAGGTGTAGGTTCCTTGTGGCAGAGTGGCTTTTATGCTGCTGAAACTACCATTAACGGGCGTACGTGGGCTCCAGTCAAGAAGCACCATTCCTATAAATTCTTCACATAAAAATTTGAAGGGGGTGTGAAGAGAGCTTTTGGTTATAATCCTCACAGTCAAGCTGCTTAGATATCTCTGCAGTCAAGACGGCAGGCCTGGAAACCTCAGGTTCCACCGTCTCCCAGCAGACGAGATGCTTGAAGACAGGGCTATTTTGGGGCAGGAACACACAGGAACGGAGTTCCGGCTGGCTCCCAAGTTGGCCACACCCAGCAGGAACTCATTAGCATAATAGGCCACACCCAACAGCAGAAACTCATTAGGAATGGCTACATTAGGGGTGTGTGGCCTAACATGCAAAGGAGTTCCTGCTACAAAAAAAGCCCTGGGTTTGACAACAAACAAGGTAAACAGAATGAGAAGCAAAAGGTGGGTGTGGCTGGATGAGCACACTTCTGGTAACATGGCCTAATATGTCAATGAGCTGTGCTGTCAGGGGTGTGGCCTAATATGCCAATGAGTTTCTGCTGTTGGGTGTGGCCTATTATGCTAATGAGTTCCTGCTGGGCTTTTTCTACAAAAAGAGCCCTGCTTGAAGATATGAGGCCAAGGAACGTTGGAGTTTCCGGGGTCCCCAAGTTCTCCCTAAGGATGGGGGTGAAAAAGCATTAACAGATTTTTGCTTTCTGTGTCCTCAGTGAAGGTTGACAAAGACAAGCAACTGGTGGTGCTGGAGGAAGAATTTCAGGTAGGCTAAACTTTTGCTTCTGTCACTCCGCTTAAAAACAGGGATAGATATTTCCCTTTGTTAAAAAGAGAAGAAGAAGCAGCAGCAAGCAGCAGCAGCAGCAGCAGCAGCTGGCCAGGGTTTTAAAAAATACCCACGATTCCAGTCTACAGATTCATAGGAGGCATGCTCAAATTTGTTAGATATTGAGATTCAAAAATAGCAGAGTTCGATTAAAGCAGCCAAACATATGTGTATTTGTCTATAAAAAGATACTTTACCAAAGATTACGTAAAGGGTACTTGCAGGGGTCATTTTGTAGAAAAAGAGGTGCAGGGGCTCATTAGCATAATTCATTAGCATACCTTATTTGCATATACCACACCCCCTGACATCACCGGAAGTGTGTCAGAAGGCAACACCCACCGCTCAGGCTCCACTGGACTGTTTTGGATTGCTAGCTATTGGGGGTGGGGGAATGTGCAGATCTGTCCTCGCAGAGGAGGGAGAGCTTGTACCTGAATAAAACTTGGTCTTA